CATAAGACACTGGGGGGTAGGGGAGGCCAGGGGATTGTCAAGGGCGGGGAAGAAAGAGGAGACATATGTAATACTCTTTGTAATATTTTAAGCAATAATATAAATAAATAAATAAATAAATAAATAAATAAAAGATTGCTGGATAAAAGAAAGGCTTTGCAGGAGATGACAACAGAACGAAGCTTGAAGAAAAGGCAGAATTTGAAGATAAGACACAAAAGGTACCTCACAAGGATAAAACAATATAGGCCAAGATACAGAGATGGACAGGATGGAGAACAGCAAGTAGCTTGGTTTGGCTAAAGTGTGGGGTTTGTAGGAGAGTGATGGTAGGTAAGGTAAACTTTCTACACCTGAACGCCAGATTAAAGAGTTGAACCTTTTATTCCAAGGCAGTGAAGAACCGTGTAGATTTTTAAGAAAATAGGTCACAGTAAGAGCTGTGCATGAGCAAGATTACACCATCAGCAGATGTGAGTGGAGGAACAGACAGAAGAAGAGAACAGTGAGGAAATTATTATAAAACTCCAGGTAAGAGATAACAGGGAGCCACACCATAGTGGCAACAGCAGAACTGGAGAGGATGAGGGGTAACAACTGCGCAAGGGAAATGGAAGGGACAATAATCACTCAGCAGTTTCCACCAGCAACGACCAGGGAACAGGAGCAAGAGCAGATTTGGGACAAAAAATAAATTCCATTTCAGACCCAGCGAATTTCAAGTAGAGCTGAGGTATGAGAGGGAGCGGTGGCAAAACCGTTGGAAATGATAAACTGGAGCGCACTTAGGGATGAGATACAGATTTCAGAGTCAACAACTAACAACTAACAACTGAAAGACATGGGAGTGACCTAAGTAAAAAGCCAGAGATAACAGAACGAAAAAGACATATAAGGGCCATTATCATCAAAGAATTAACTCAATTTGGTGACTGGATATGAAGGATAAGAAAGTCACTAAGGACTCAGTGACTTTGAATCCGTATAACTAGGAGGACGGATGTGCCATTAATAGAAAAAGAAAAGAGAGGAGAAACAGCAAGTCCTAGAGAAAGTAAAGCCAGTGGGTAAGCACTTGCCAAAACTGTTGTTTGAAAAGACTATTACTGCAGGGAGGACTGGCCTAGATCAGTGGTTCTCAGGTGATGGCGGAAAGATGCACCGGCTGCCACATCTTCACAGAAGTGTTCAGAGCTTACTCATAATTTCCACACTGCCCTTGCTGTGGACCAGTAACAAGTTTGCAGACCAGAGTAGGTCCACACATCATCCCTAACATGGTCCTAAACTAGAAAATCTCCAACATGCTTCCCACTTCTAAGATGCTATGACATTAATATCGCACACTGGGGTTTGCTAATGAAGAGTAGCAAACTGGGAAGGGAAGGGCCAGTTCCCATCATTTACCAGCAGTGGAAAGGTCTGGCACCTAGAGGATTCTCAAGGTGTGCTACTTTCCTTCCTTCAAGGAAATGAGAGATATAGCTGGCTGGCTTGCCTATCCCTGAGGTTAAAAGGATGAAAAGAAATGACATATGTAAGATCAAATGTAAGTACAGGCATTACAATTATTTAAATGCTAATAACTCCAAATACAGAGCAGTGAATTCCAAACCTGGTTTCCTAAGACTTCCGGCTTATCTATAATCTCAAGGCATGGCATGAAATTCCCCAAATAAAATTCTTTTTACTTTACTTTTTAAAAACAACAAAAGAGCAAAAAGGTAACATCTGATAAAAATAGGGGAGTCAAAAAAAGGCACTACATATTGAGGAAAATAATGAGTTTAATTTTAGAAATACTGAATTTAGGGTATGGCAGAATATTTAATAAGAAATATCTGATCAGCAGTTCTAACTCAAAAGAAAGGTCAGACCTGAGAAAAAAATCTGGGAGTTGTTCACATACAGGTAACAGTTGAAACAAAAAAAGGAGTAAAAGACTTATGGCAATATGGAAACTGAGATATTCTAAGGGACCCAAAGCAACTACATACAGGATAAGATAGGCTTATGGATGCATTTTTGGTCTCAAAGGAAGTAGATGAAATCTCTTTCTGAACTACCTGGTCAAAAAACAAACCTGAAGACAGCAATAGAAACTTTCTAAAATGAAACAGAGAGAGGGAAAAATACTGGGGGAGAATGAGCAGGACATCAGTAAGTTAGGGATAATTTCCAGCAGCCTAAAATATGTGTAACTAGAGTTTCTCAAATAGAAGGGGGAAGAAAAATAATTGAAGAAAACTTGGCCAAAAGTTTTCCAAATCTGATAAGACTTCTAAAACTACAGATCCAAAAGCTCAGTTGTACTTCTATCTGAAAGAAAGAATATACTAATGGTAAGGAAACAGTTTTGAATGACATCTAAAATGGAACATCAAGAGAGGGAGAAGAAATACAGCATTTTCCAATAGTGTGTAGGAGATAGGGAGGGCAAGGACAAATAAGTGGGAAATAAGTCCCAGGACTGCAAAGGGATACCTCAGACTCTAAGTTAAGGACACTGACCATTAATAAATCTAATGAACTCTCTTTGCTCTAATTCCATGCCCAAGTAAGCGTCTGATTGCATTTTGCTTCTCATGTAGTTCTGCTTAGAGAACATCTGTACTACTTAAAGATTATATGTCTCACTGTAAACTGGTTATTTTGGTTTAGACGTCAGTGTCTAGTGAATCAGTTCCCTAAGCTTCATCTCCTCTGGGTGTACTTACAAATCACATTTTGAAGTCTCTATGTATGTCCACTCAATGAAACTGCAAAATTCTACGAGTTGACCTGAGGCAGATAGCTACTTTCCTCTCCATCTCGCTGAATATCTAGTCAAACCACAGTTCTCTTCAAAAAAAATAATTAGCGGAGCCTGTGAGTGACCCCTTGGCCCTATAAATAAGGATGTATCTCAGTACCATCACACTGCACCAGGTGAATTCCTGACTCTCAGGCAGTCCCCTAGAAAACAACACCACTGGCTTCCTCACTATCACCGAAGGAGCTGCGCATTAATCTACAGCGTTCCAGTAAGGTAGATACCAAGAACCTTTCATGAGATTATCTTGAAAAACATGGTGGCACATTAGAAATATTCAGTGCATTACATATTAAAGAATAGGTAAATCTTGCAGAAGACAGAGGTGATGTCAAAAACACTATTTCCAGCCCTGCCAGTGTTGCTCAGTGGTTGAGCATCGACTCAGGAACCAAGAAGTCACTGGTTAGATTCCCAGTAAAGGCACATGCCCGGGTTGCAGGCTTGATCCCCAGTAAGGGGCGTGCAGGAGGCAGCTGATTGAGGTTTTTCTCTCAATGTTTCTATCTCTCCCTCTCAAAAAAAAAAAAAAAAAAAGTAAATAAAAACTTTCTTTTTTAAAGCACTATTTTCAGATACTATGGGGATAGGGCCAACAAAGATAAGGAGAACTCAAAGAATGGGACTTCCAAGTAGCCTTGGGACCACAGGCAAGTTCCTTAACCTAGCTGGGTCCTGATTTCCTCTTCTGTAAAATGAGGAAACGGGCTCAGATAATCACGAAGGTCCCTTTCAATTCAAAATTCTATTACAATTATTTCCCTCAGTGATAACTGGGAAAGGTACAGAAACAAGTTAACTAAGAAAACTTAAGAGTAACTTTCCTCAAACAATATAGTATATTTCTTTCCAGGTAGAATCTATTTTATCTCTCTTACAATAAAACTAGATCCAATAAGTTTTTCAAAAATTGCACACATAGGAAAGAATCGATCGGCTACAGTGGTAACTGAAGAATAAAAACGAAAAGGAAGACTTACGTGTGTCTTTCATATCTGAGGGTTTCTCGGATGGACCATGCAACCTGGTATGGCGAGGCCTGCTCCGAGTCCTCCAGTTCCTCCCCACTCTCTTCAGACCAGTCCAACCCTGGACAGGAAAGATTATTGCAAGTGAGAAAAAATTTACTTTTATTTAAAATTTAGATAAAAAGAAACCTGAAATATGTGACCTAACATCAACAGCAAGTGCTACCACAGTATGAATAAGTGCCTCCTGTTGAGTGTCATCGCTACCTGACAAAGACATTAATAATGAATGTATGACACACATTCGGGCCTAAAATAACGACGCTATAGCAAAAAGGCTATAGTCCAAGGATGGACTTTTTTTTGTTTTTGTGTGTTTTTTTCCCCCAATTTGTTTACATTCAATATTATTTTGTATTAGTTTCAGGTGTATAGCATAGTGATTAGATAATCATATACTTTACAAAGTGTTTCCCTCAATATTTCCTGTACCCACATGACACCATACATTATTATTAATTACATTATTAGCTATATTCCCTATGCTGTACTTTATATCCCTGTGACTATTCTGTAACTACCAATTTGTATTTCTTAATTCCTTCACCCAGTCCCCCAACCGCCCTCCCCTCTGCCTACCATCAGTCTCTTGTCTGTGTTTATGAGTCTGTTTCAATTTTGTTCTTTAGATTCCACCTATAAGTGAAATCATATGGTATTTGTCTTTCTCTGGCTGACTTATTTCACTTAGCATAATAACCTCTAAGTCTACCCATACTGTTAGATTTCATTATTTTTTATGGATGAACTTCTTTTATCAGACATTTCACAAATGGAGCAGAAACAACACAAGCAAACAAAGTTCAAGTAAAAAAAAAAAAAAGGGTAGACTTTCATAAGTATCAAAATATTATACACCTAAAATGTCAGAAAAGCAAAACATATTCAAAACAGTGAGAAAAGAAGTTAAGGCAAGAAAAAAGTCAAAAGGTGCCAGTGAAGTCACTCTAACGTCAACAAGGACCCTAGAAAGAATTGTCAAAGGTAAAGACATTCCATCCCCTTCCCAACACGAGTGGAGGAAAGGATTCATCCAGCAGGCGGGGCCATTCCCTGGCTCCTGCCTTCCATAGGATGAGGAAAGAGCAGGGTGGCTTGGGTTTCTTTGAATTTTTTAAACAACAGCTGCCCCATTTAGTGTTCTATTTTGAAAAACAAATTTATAGGGAAAAGTATAGAAATATTAGTATGAACAATGCTTACTTATTTTGTTAAATGCTATTGTTTTTAATGATTGGATAATTGTTAGCCTCCAACAGAAAGGTTTTACTTGTTTAAAAGTTGTATAAATACTGACAATGATGAGCCTAAAATATGCCAGCATGTGAGACTACATTACTTTAATATACTCATGCTGCTGTTAAACTTTAATTAGATAACCAGTATTCTACATCTTCCTTCTTGAAACCGTCAAAAATCATTAAAGTTATATTTAAAAGGACTTCACAGATTTCTTCCATAATTTAAATCTTTTTTAAAAATTGATTTAGAGAGAGAAAGATGAAGGGAGGAGAGAGAGAAAAACATAGATCGGCTGCCTCCTGCACACCCACTACTGGGGTTTGAGCGTGCAACCCAGGAATATGCCTTGACCAGGAATTGAATCAGCAATCCTTAGGTGCATAGGACCACACTCAGTCAACTGAGCCACACCAGTCAGGGCTTCTTACATAACTTAAATAAGTTTACATGTGATAAATAGAGAAATTAAGATAAAGTTAACGGAAATGCAAACTTTAAATCAGTGGTTCTCATCAACCTTCCTAATGCCGAGACCCTTTAATACAGTTCCTCATGTTGTGGTGACCCCCAACCATAAAATTATTTTCGTTGCTACTTCATAACTGTAATTTTGCTACTGTTATGAATCGTAATGTAAATATCTGATATGCAGGATATGTTTTCATTGTTCCAACTTGAACATAAAGCATAGTGATTAATCACAAAAACAATATGTAATTATATATGTGTTTTCCGATGGTCTTAGGCGACCCCTGTGAAAGGGTCGTTCGACCCTCAAAGGGGTCTCGACCCACAGGTTGAGAACCGCTGCTTTAAACACTTAAAATTAAAGAACACATTGCCACTGGCATAAGAAACCTCAAATCTAGTTTCAAGATTTCAGGTCATTTTCAAAAGTAAGTTACTTTCTCTCAACTAAAATAATTAGTAATTTGTTTTGTTTTTTTAAAGTAAAAAACAAGTGATCACAACAGCATCAGCCTCAGGATGTTGAATGGTGCGTTCTTTCTTTCAAACACAAAGTGACATTTAGGCATCTTTGAAAAATTAGAACAGGAGTTATCTGTAGAAGTTATAATAATTTCTACTAAGACACCTATACTTTCTCTGAAAATGTCCCAATCTAAATCATAAGAGTTTCTCCTATTATAAAAACAACTGTCCAATAAAGCAAACCTTTGATCTTGGCTTCATGATCACTAGTTTTAATGTAACTTACTGAGATAACCAGCCCAGACAGGAGTTCTAAAGCCAATTACAAGACTGCATTTTTAAAAAATATTTTTTTATTGATTTTTTTACAGAGAGGAAGGGAGAGGGACAGAGAGCCAGAAACATCGATGAGAGAGAAACATCGATCAGCTGCCTCCTGCACACCTCCTACTGGGGATGTGCCCGCAACCAAGGTACATGCCCTTGATTGGAATCGAACCTGGGACCTTCCAGTCTGCAGACCGACGCTCTATCCACTGAGCCAAACCAGCCAGGGCAAGACTGCATTTTTAAAAAATATTTTTTGCTGACATTAATGCAGATAATGTTTGGTCATAACAGTGCATTACAATTTCTGGTTTCTCCAAAAATAATCTTTGTTTTGAAAACTTGGGCTCCTAATATGTTTGAGTTAAAAAAGAAAAAGACAATGCTTTTCTGCAAGTTTTGTTCCATTCAACATGATAGAAATCATCCCTCAACATGACATTCAAAATCAAAAGCTAAAAAATTATCAGCACCCAGAAGTAAGAGTAAAAACTCTAGTAGATGATATAGGTAAGTGACAGAATAAGAGGCAAAAATTCAGCGGGGAAAAGTTAGATCTCTGCCTCAAAACTAACACCTCATGAGTTCCAAATAGATGACTAAAATCCCTTATACTAAACCCCAATATGCAAATCGACCGACCAGTGGCCAGTTGCTATGACGCGCACTGATCACCAGGGGGCAGACATTCAATGCAGCTCCTGCGTTGAGCGTCTATCCCCACCCCCCAGAGGCAAAATCCCCCCATCACCCTGCCTGCCGGTTGCCCCACAGATGGCCCTGATCGCTGGCCAGGCCTAGGGACCCTACCCTATATATTGGGAACAGTCTCTTAGATTTAAAAATTAAAACCTGGCAAGGCTACTCTAACATTGAAAAAACAGGATGATGCAGTGATGACATGCATGGACTCTGACTTGCACATTTGGTGGTCAACCCTGACTTTGACACTTACAACTGTGTGACAAAGCCAATTAACTTCTCTCTGCTTCAGTTTTTCCACCCATAAGATGGGGAAAATGGTACTACTGCCTCAGAATCATGTTATTATGTACTACTTTTTATAATCAGGGCAAAAAAATGTAGCTGCCCATACAACAGCAAGATGCCTTTCACCTGTATGAAAAGTATGGTCACTGGTGCATGCAGCGTCCTGGATTGCAAGAGGGATGTCCGACTGCCGGTTTAGGCCCAACATACCCCAAGGGGTCCCGGATTGCGAGAGACTGCAGGCCAGGCTGAGGGACGGCCACCCCACTCCCACCCCACCCCACCCCCGTGTACTGGGCCTCTAGAGCAGTGGTTCTCAACCTTCTGGCCCTTTAAATACAGTTCCTCATGTTGTGACCCAACCATAAAATTATTTTCGTTGCTACTTCATAACTGTAATGTTGCTACTGTTATGAATCGTAATGTAAATATCTGATATGCAGGATGGTCTTAGGCGACACCTGTGAAAGGGTCGTTCGAC